CAAGACAAGTCCCTGTCAAAGAGCATTTAAGTAGCATACAAATTTTTACCACAGAAAAGAAGTTCAAACAATGAGAACAAGAACATCGTATTTCCTCAGTTTCATGCATTGTATGAAAGAAACTTAAAAGTATAGCTATCTACAAAGAATGCAAAAGGAGGTATTTTTGTCCACAAGAAACATGGGCTCCTGAACTCTACCTTTCCATGTCATTTGCTCCTAACCATAAACTTTCTTCTGGTTCTTCCAGTCAAAATTAAGTAGAGGAGGCATAAAACAAACAGTTGCATACATGCGTGTTTTTAACATTTCTATTTACTACAAGAACTTAGTATTAATCAGTGTCATGTTAATGCAACTCTAAATTTGGACAATGATTCATCTTAAAGACATGACAAAAAGTGCATTTTGGTTTAGGACGTCAGAATTTATATTTAGGATTTCAAAATTTATATCTAATTTCTATAATGATCTATATTTTAAAACTATAAATTTATATATAATTATTTTCAGAATTAGATTATTTATATTTATTACATAAATATCACATTAAGAACTCATCCTTTGAAAATTGACCATAGACAGAGATCAGACAGATGCTGGAATGGATCCAATATTTTTGTGACTCCTGAAAATATCTATCTGCTTTGTCTCACACATTCTTTTGAATATCTAAATCAAGGTTCCAAATGGATAACCTTTTTCCCTGATTACCCACATATAAAACAGAAGGCTTGGGATTAAAGCACACACACACACACACACACAAAAAAAAAAAAAAAATCACAAGAAGCATATGCAGCCACTTGTATCAAACTGGGCTGAAAAAAATACAGACTGGGGGACTAGCTATTAACTGACGTTTTTCAAATAAGGTAGAATCTTAGCAAAATTTAATTTCAGTCATTATGAGCACATATTTGAACTTTCCATCATTAGATGTCACCTAAAAGGGCACTGTGCCTTTATTGTTTGCTATCCAATATTCAAGTGACCTTTTGAATTATGATCATGAAATTTGATACACTCATTTCTCCTGATTACATGGGGAAATCATGTGAAATTTGACATTTCAGCTGCAAGGTCAGCCAAATAGCAGCCTAACAATTCACAAAACCTGACTTTTTTCCCCACTCTAGACAGGGGGCCCCCAGTTGGCACTACTGAAAATATTGGAGGTCACCTATTCCCTGGCAGTGCCACTAAACACTGCATTCAGTTCCCCCACAGGGAGATAAGATTCAAGTGCCAGAAGTGTGCAGGGGATGCGCAGATGTACCTGTCCTTCCCCAGGTATGATTTTCCTGC